TGGATGGAACATTTCCGAGCAGGATTGTTAGCCCATTACCCAGACAACCCTCTACCATCTGCCGCAAGCTTGCTACTGCTTTCTTCAGAACAGTCTTCAGACATAAAATTGAGGCGGAGAGTCACACAGTAAAAACCAGTACAAGAGTTTCCTGGTTCTAGAACAATCCAGACCAATCCAGACCACCTAAGGTCACGTAGGTCACAGTCAGTGCTGGGGAAGACCTCCCAAAGGCTGCGGAGGTTAAGTCCTGGGGTTCCTCCCGCGATGCTGGCCCAGCATGAGGACGGACTCAACGCCAGACATACCCAAACGCTGACTGTGGAGGTACGGCCTCACTCACTCGAGGGTTTTTTTCACCCGGCATGGAGAGGCTGTATGTGTGAGGCTGTATTTACAGACCGGGAAATGAAGCATGTAAAAGTTACTGTCTGGATCCTTCCGTGTGTCTTAGCACCTCAGCTCTGGTTTTGTCGTTTTCTGGCCTTAGTTTTTCTGTCTGTAAAATGGGGGTAACAGCACGTGTATCTCAGAGGATAGTCACAAGAATTAAGAGAGTTAGTTTATGAAGAACTTGGGATAATTACGCGCCGTGTGACTCTTGAATACGCGCATATCCATTTACCTGTGTAACTTTCCATGCAACGGTTGTTTTTAAATCCCAGCCAGTTTTCAATCTCTATTATTGTCACACTTGTAAGGAAGAGCAGAGCAAGTTGGGGAGACAGAGGCTTCAGAAGTATCACGGCACGGCCTTAGGGTTAAAATGTAAAACTCTACCGAGAATGATGCATACATGTGATCCAATCGTACTGCGGCCTCAGAAATGGGTTAAAATTATGTAAGTCCCCATGTCGTCTATCTCATGACTGTCACCAGCAAATAGCATGGACAAGTGGAATGCAGTGGGGCTTTCTAAAAACAGCTTTCCTGTCTCTTCCCGTTTACTTTCTGTTAAGTCTGGAAACGGGAAGTGAATTAGGAGCATGCTACAGGACCGGGCACTTTTGCACTCCAGCCTCCTGGTCTGGGTCCTGGGAGCAGAGCCTTTCTCCGCAGCAGCACTCGCTTGGATTCCATCTCTTAACGTACGTACGTACATACGTACGTACATGCCAAACCCTTCCGGCAAGCCCATGAGCTCCGGGCTGTTCTGCAAACCCAGGGAAAAGACACGCAAGCTGGAAGCGTCACAGACCACAGCCGGAAGAGGCTGGAGCGAGGCTTTCCGGTGTGGGATTGTTACATGCCACACTTCGGAATTATGGGCAGAGTATCCCTAACTTGAAGTTCAAACCCTGAGCTGCACCACCAGCTGGAGCTTTTGCTATGCTGACTGACACTGTCAAGTGGAAAATTCCATGCCTGCCCTCATATGACAGATCATGGTCAAAATATGGGCACGGGGGCTCGGTAGTTAAGAGCACTTGATGCCCTCCTCAAGGACCCAGGTTCAGTTCCCAGCACCCACGTGACAGCTCACAACCATCTATACATCCAGTTCTAGGGGATCTGATTTCCTCTTCTGGCCTTTGAAGGTTCCAGGCATGCACAACACATGGTACAGATGTACATGCAGGCAAAACATCCATGTGTAAATATAATATAAAATATAATGAATATATTTAAAATACAGGTTCACTAGAAATGCCATGCAAAATTATTATTGTATACATAGGTTTATGAGAAACTTAATCGATTTTCTGTTTAAGTTGTAGTCCCATTCCAAAGAAATCTCATTATAAATATGCAAATACCCTAAATCTAAGGGACAGTGTTCAGACCCCTCTGGTTCAGAACATCTGAGTGGTTGCTGAAGGATTCCCAACCACTGTTTTCCTTTGGTCTGGGTGCCATGTTGCTTTCTGGTTTTCTCTTTTTCTTGCCTGCTGTTTTGTGAGACAGACCTTGGGAAGAGAACAGGATGACGAGGGATCATTTCCAGCACGTGTGAACTCCATCCTTCTGCCTCCTGATACAGAGGCAGAACCCTCACGAGGGCCTTCCAGCCCTCCTCTCTGAACCCAACTCTTAACCGAGACAGCCCCTTCCACCACCCCCTGCTCCACAAGGCCTAGGCAGCTGGGAGTCTAGAGGGACAGAAGGGAACAGGAGACATACACCCTGCATTAGAGCCTTGTGCTACAGTTCACCCTACAGACAGTGTTCTTAAAAGCTGTCTAAACTCTTTAGTAGCAGAGTGACAAGTCACCTACACTGGGAGTTGACACTACATCACAGATCTGTGAAGAATGAAATTGGTATTCCAAACAACTATCCTCGGGCCCGAGGGTGACCTGGCTGTTATCTGCCACCTGCTGATCACTAGGTTGATTTGGCTGACATGGCTGGGTAGGTACGTGTCCCCTTTTTCCTCTTCAGCCCATGTGTCCTTCCTGAAGCTTTTCCCTGTGGAAGACAACCTTCTCCAACAGGGCTGTCGAATGTGCATGGACTGCCGAGTCTCTGCAGAAGTCTCTAAACAGGATTTTAAGGTCCAAACCTAGACCTTGAACAAAAACTGGAGTAGGAGAACTGTGCCACCAATACCACACACTTGGGGACAGTTCCTTTTTTTGTCAGTCCTCTGTCCGTCTGTCTATCCATCCACAGTGTCTTTTTATTAAATGTAAAAAAAGAATGTGAAAAGCAAAAGCTAAGTTTTAGCATTGGGGTGTGGCTTTGGGGCGTGGCTGTGGCCATGGCTGTGTGGCAGCCTTGCCTGGCATGGGAGGCCTTGGGTTGAGACCCCAGCACTGCACACAGAGGCACACACACACAGATACACTGAGACACACAGAGAGATACAGAGATACAGAGACATTTGTATAAACACACAGAGAGATACACTGAGACATATAGACACACATACAGATACACTGAGACACACACAGAGATACACAAAAATACAGAGACACATATACAAACACGCACAGAGACATTGAGACACACAGAGAGATAAGATACAGAGACACAGAAACAGAGATACTCACAAAGACACCACACACAGACACACACAGATATGCATAGACACACACACACACACACACACACGATTTAAACGTGAAGTTAAGCTATTTCTACTTGAGCTCAGAACAGCAGCTGTACTGTTATGCATGGATACTCACCACAAGTCATGATCAAACAGGGTTCTGTTTATAAGCAGGGTGAAATGACATGAACTCATATTGTGAGATGTGAATCTCTGGCCAAGTGACCTCACTCTGCTAAGCCGTAGTTTCCTGATCTGTGATTCTCTTTGCAGGTCTACTTCTAAAACCGAGATAACTGATCTAGTATCAGTTATCTAACCTGGGACACAGTGAGTTCTTTTCTTTAAAAGGTGTGTGTGTGTGTGTGTGTGTGTGTGTGTGTGTGTGTATGTGTGTATGTGTATGTGTGTGTGTATGTGTGTGTCTGTATGTGTGTGTGTGTGTGTGTGTGTGTGTGTGTGTGTGTGTGTGTGTGCAGGTGCCCTTGGAAGCTAGAAGAGAGCAGAGTTCCATACTGGGTGCTGAGAGCCAGTCAGGTCTTCTGCAAGAGCAGCACACACTCCAAGCCAGTGAGCATCTCTCCAGCTCAGAAACATCGGCTCTCTTCATTTATTCTCTTTGGAATTTGGTGTCTTACTTCAGCAAGAATATCTTTCAGGTAGTGATATAGTTCAGTGGTGGTGCACTTGCCTAGCATAGGGGAAGGCCCTGAGTTTGGTAGCCAGCATCACAAAAATCCACCTGCCCACCTATCCACCCATCCACCCACCCACACATCCATCCATCCATCCATCCACCCATCCATCCACACACACCCACCCATCTATCTGCCCATCCACCCACCCACACACCCATCCATCCATCCACACCCACCCACCCATCTATCTGCCCATCCACCCACCCACACATCCATCCATCCACCCATCTACCTGTCCATCTGCCCATCCATCCATCTGCCCATCCATTCACCCATCCATTCCACTCACACATACATACATATATACATACATACATGTACATATACATACATCTGACTGAACATGCACACAGCTACACCACGTTTAACTCTCAGAATCCCTAATTCAGACTTTTCCAATGCTTGGCTACTCTGCTCATCTATCTGCTTGACATAGAAGAGTTAATATCCAAAATAAAATGATGTGGACAGATCATTAAGTAACAAATAGCCTCACGGAATGTATTTACATTGACATGAGCCATACTACTGTCCCAAACAGTTGAGTTTTGCATCATTTGGGGAAGGGTCATAGTTTTTCTTTTCTGAAGAGGAATTAGGTCTTTAAATTTTTTTTTATTATGCACACGTGTGCATGTGTGTGTGTGTGGTGAGTACAGGCATGGGTGTGGCAGTCAGGACAACACTGAGAAACTGGTTCTCCCCTTCAGCTATGGGTTCCGGGGATTGAACTCACATTGCCATGGTTGTGCAGCAAGCTCTTTTGTCCACTGACTCTTCTCAATGGCCCAGAAGTTAAGATTCTCCTTTTCTTTTAAAACCAAAACTTTTTAAAAGAAATTTATGTGTATGTATGTTTGTCTGTGTGGGTACATGAGCATGTGCGTATGTATGTATGTATGTGTGTATGTATGTTTGTGTGGGTACATGAGCATATGCGTATGTATGTATGTATGTGTGTGTGTATGTATGTATGTATGTTTGTCTGTGTGGGTACATGAGCATATGCGTATGTATGTATGTATGTATGTATGCATGTTTGTCTGTGTGGGTACATGAACATGGGCATAGGTGTGCCCCTGGAGTCTAGAAGAGGGCATCAGATCCTTTGGATTTAGAGTAGCAGGTTATTTTGGGCCACCCATCATGGGTGCTAGGAATTGAACTCTGGTCCTGTGTGAGATCAGCAAGCATTCTTAACTACCAAGGCATCTATCTCTCCAGCCCTTTAAAATAACTGCAACCCAGTTCCCTTGGTGATAAAAACTCAGCAAAGATGGGTTTTACTTAAATGAATCAGACACACTCAATGAAGGAGAAATCAGCTTTTATTTAGAGAAGATTTGTCAAGTGTCCTTTCCAGTTTCCTATGAGGCCCAACGCTGCAACTCAGGACCAGAGAGTGGACTCTGTTGTGTAATCAGATCCTGGTGAACAGAGTGGGAACCTCGCTGCTGTGGGTGTGGCTGTGGCTCCTCCAGGCCTGGTCAGTCATGATCCTGGTACCTGCCCCACCTTGGCTGTCTGTCAGAGGGGAGACCTGCCTATTAGCTGAAATTTTCCACTTGCTCCTTACATGATGGTTTTGTTACCCATGTCCTCATGGGATCAGGTACTGCCTGCCAACCTAGATCAACGGGCTAGACACAGGTTCTCTGTAGCTCAGTGGAAACCTCAAAGCCATTCATAACCAACATTCAGAGGTCAACGCAAAAAACTTTTCCCTTCAGTGTTCAGAAAGCTTTCTTTGTTTTAACCTGAAAAGTAGGATTCTGCCTGCTTCTTACAGCAAATGTATCTCTGAGGTGTGACTACTGTGCAGCCGAAGCCTGGAGACACACAGGTATCCTGCGTTCTCCGCCTGTTTGTACCTTGATGACTCAGTCAGGTGCCAACACGGCAGGCTTTGCAGTAATCTTCAAGTGATGATTCCACTTTATGATGCAGAAATAAGTCCAAATAAACACAGATCTACGTAGGAGAGACTTCTTCAGTGTGCCCGTCCACTGCCTCAGCCGCGGCAGTCAGAGGGCAAAGTGCACAACTGAGGAGGAAATGGCCCGTCACGTCACACAGTGACGCAGTGACGTCTCATAGTGACGCAGTGACGTCTCATAGTGACGTGGTGACGTCTCACTGTCTCGCAGACTTAACCAGTCACCTTTTTAATTCTTGAGAAAGTGACAGTTACTTCCTGCTTCTGTCCCCTTCAATCCAGTACTTCTCGGTCTGCATCTCTGTGAGCCGGGAAATGGTGCGCTGAAAAGCGAAGATTTCCTCCTCCCCAGTAAACATGGCGAGCCCCGCTGAGTCCTGTGAGCAGAACAGACAGACAAAGCCAGCCCCTGTGAAAACCGTTACTCTGAAGGAAGACTTACAGAAACAAATCCCGGTTTAAAGAAACCTTCAGCCTTATCGATTTAGATAATATATTTCCATAGACAACCTCTCAAATGAGACTAAAGTGTCAACTGATTTAAACCAATAGATAATTAACAGAACCAGGAAGAAAAAAGGAAAAGTATCAGATCAAAGCAAAGCACAGAAGGTTTTGCTCAGAATGGAAGTTCAATGCAAACTCTATTAAAGAAACAAGCTAGAAAGAAATCTCTCTCCAAGAGCAGCCAATAGCAAAATGATAATTTTGCCAGGTACAGTGATTTACCCTCTAATCCCAAAACAACAGTCTGTCTTACCCTACTACCACTACCACCCCGAGAGAGAAAGAGAGAGAGAGAGATTGAGAAGCAGTTCTAATAATTTAGGAAGCTCCTGGGACAATCTTTAAGGAGCCCTTTCTAGTCTGAGAGACTGAGAGGTTCTGTGGTTCCTGGCCCTGGAGAATCTACCTGAAATCCGAGTTTGTAAAGAACAGAGAGCTGCTTTGGTCCTCAGTCAGGGCATTTGGTATCTGCTGAGGGGTGTGAGGGGGAGCTTTCCACTGTGAGGCCAGTCAGCACCCTTAGGACTGGGAATATCAACATGGCCTGTAGTCAGGAGGACAGCTTTGGGTTTTCCTGTCTCTCCTTGGGGGTTTGCTCTTGAGTTCTTTCAGAGAAAATTTCTATGCTCCTAAGCCCATCTTCTCCACTGGGTCCCTGCGACTCTAGGACTCTGAGATCACATTCCCTGACTTCTTCATGATGGTCTGAGCTCACCTGGCCCCATGTCTGAACCCTGACTCTTGCAAAAATGTTAAGAGCCTCTGCTGAGAAACTAATTTGACTGACTAGCCCCTCTTGAATCAACAAGGGCAACGACTGAATAATAGGCACTGCACTTTGAGAGGCGACCTTGCTGTGGCCTCCACATGGGACTTTTAAACAGTTAGTCCTACACCACTGTAGTCCAGATGTTTGTGTCTTCCAAAATGTCCATGTTGAAACCTTAGCCCTCAAAGGAGCGATGTGATGATGTGTCAGAGCCTTGGGGCTCTGTTGATTAGGTCTTGAGAGTAGGGTCCTCAAGAACAGCGATGTCTTCACAAAAGAAGGCCCAGGATGGTCCGTTCTTTCTTCCTTCCTTCCTTCCTTCCTTCCTTCCTTCCTTCCTTCCTTCCTCCCTCCCTCCCTCCCTCCTTCTGCCATGTGAGGCATAAGACAAACTAAGTTGACCTCAGACTGAGAACTGTGAGAAACAGCTTCCGTGGTGGAGAAGTCGTATACATTACGGTATTCTGCTACAGCGGCCTGAGGAGTTGGACACCCAAAGCAATCAGGTTTTCAAAGTTTACCCCAAGGATGAATATTGTCTATTCACATTGACAAGAATTTACTGTTGGGCCTGGAAGAATGCTGTCCCCGTTCTTGGGGTCAAATGGTGGCAATTAAATTTTTTTGAGATTTAATTATTTTTTATTTTACATGTATAGGTGTCTTGCCTGCATGTGTTCTATGCACCATGCACATGGGGCACACACGGAAGCCGAAAAACTGCATCAGACCCCCTAGAACTTGTTAACAGCCATGTAGGGGCTGGAAATCCAATCCAGGTCCCCTGGAAGAGCAGTCAGCACTCTGAACCACTGAGCCATCTCTCCAGCCCCAGTACTGACAGTTTAACTTTTGACTATTAGGTCAATGGTTTCATAGCTGATCAATATACCCCCTAATGGTTTCACTGAAGAAGGGAATCCTTCTGATTGGCCTGGGATAAATCCAGAGTTCAAGCTCCAGAAAAACCCAGACCATCTCAGTCTGCTTCCCACAGAGTATCCCTGAGCCGGGCACCCAGAGGTGCTCAAAGTGTTTCCTTAATGAAAAGTCTGGGACTAAAGCCTGGATTTCCTCTTTAAGCTGGGACTTGCTAGGTTCTCTACGGGACTCTGTTTCTGCTATGTGAAAATGAAGCAAAGGCTTACACAATCAACAGGGGCTCCAAGACGAGACCCTCTCAGTGTGCTGGAATTGACACAGAGCTGGCCTGACAGCATCGCTCGATGGTTCACTATATTTGCGTTCCTCGATGATATAACTATATTTGCATTTCTTCTGCAAAATGTGGTGTGCATCAAACTCAAAACCATTGAGCCATTTTATAAGATGAAATGAGGTTAGTATCACCTACCTGGCTCAGCCCCAGATCGTCCATCAGCACTCTGCTTTGGTCTGACTCACTGTCGTGATGCTCATACAGAAACAAGCTTGAGATAGGAGCCGCAGCACAGCAGATTAGACGCACCTGCACCAGGAAGAGCGGAGGGTTGGACTGCGCTCACAAGATAAAACCTGTCACATAAGGAGCTTGGGTCTTTGCTTTTACAACGTCTGTGGCTTTTCCTAGTCGTTTGTACTTACGAGATGATTGGAACAGCACAGCACTTGCCAACACATTTCAACACAGCTTAGACCACGCTGTGAAGCAGACAGTAGGGGCTTTATACGGGGAAGCCCAGGCCTGTGGCAGTCACAGTAGGGGCTTTATACAGGGAAGCCCAGGCCTGTGGCAGTCACAGAAGGGGCTTTATACAGGGAAGCCCAGGCCTGTGGCAGTCTCAGTCCAGGTCCTACTCCGGTGGACTTCCTTTATATCTCTGGCTTGGATGTCCACAGCCCCTCCAAAGCTCATGCTGAAAATCTCCCAATACAGGAGTAGTAAGAGGTGGGACCATCAGGGTCACGATGGTTCCACAAAGATCTGCCTGAACCCTTTTCTCTGTTTAATATTTATTTTCAATTATGTATGCCTGTGTGTGGGTCTGTGCATGGGTGCCTGCGGCGCTCAGAAGAGGGTGTGGGATCCCTGAAGCTGAAGTTAGAGGCAGTCATAAGTGTCCAGCATGGGTTTGGGTTCTCTGGAAGAGCCGTACTCATTCTGGGCCATGGAGCCATCTCTCCAGACCTTTTTTCTATTAGCATACTGCGGGCACTCTTCAGAGAGAACTACATCAGCTTCCTGTACAGTATTGTCTCAGTATTAGGTGAGTGGACAGACACGATCACAGCTTGAAAACAGTTTATGACTTTTAGATATTTTATGTCCATTCATTTATCATACTTGTTCTTCGTATCATTTTGTTCTTTCAGGTAGATGTAGTTCAGGCTATCCCCCAACCCATTATATTCCTGCCTCTTCCTCCCACGCAGCAGGGTTATAGGCATGTACACCACGCCTAGCTCCAAAGCACACCCCTCCCGATGTTTAAAGAACCCAGATTTGCTGTGAGCCTTTCAAAAATCATCTTTCAAGTAAATAACCAATGCTTTACAACAACACGTTGACTTTAGGGACCTGCATTCCCATTTTATTTTATTTTTTTACCCCCCCTCCCATTTTATTTTAATAAATCTTTCAACCACAATTGGCACTTTTTCCATTATTTAAATGACATGTCCTATTTCACAAATCTTCATGAATACATTCTAGAATAATGTCTGCTTAACGCTCTCAATTTCTGAAACAAGGTAATTCTGAGCATACTTTAAAAGAGAATAAAATCTCTAAACATGTGGTTTAGTTAGAATAGATGTCAGCAGTGTTTGAGTGTTCTGGCATGTTCTATCACACACTGCCAGGTAAAGCTTTTCTTCTTTTAAATAATGAGAAGCCAGGAGACGACCGAGTCACGGCCGAGCACTAGGGAACAGATTTTCTTTGAGGCGTTTCCAACTTGAACATGAACCATGTATGCCTTTACCCTCTAAGCCAATGCCACTTCCACTCAGGAAGCCTTTACCCTCTGAAAACCAGGGATACCCTCCAGCATGGCGGACTGCACCTGGTGGGTGGGACCCGCCATTAGCACAGGGCAGCCTCACGTTGATGAGCCTGGTGCCTCAGCTCCCTGATGTCACTGCCTGTCTTCTGGCCCCCTGATGTCACTGCCTGCATCTCCTGACCCCCTCCTCATGTGACTTTCACTACGTGCTGACAGCAGGCTTCCCTGAGCTGCTTCACCAGAGCCTGCAGGCTGCCTTTCATGCTTAGCTGCCTTTGTCCCAGGCTACTGCCCTGTGCAGCCAGCCCTTCACCCCTGAACATTTATCAGGAACATGTCAACATGGCTACCAGGCCCCATGCCTGGTACTCATTAGGTAGGGTAGAGATGGAGTAGCTCTGGAATCTGGATTGTAAGTAGCCATGATTTTCTGATGCAACCACAGAAGACTTCCCTGGACCTCTCTCAACTATTCCTGGACATCAGGGCTCAGAGACCTCTTCCTGTGTGGTCATCCTGAACTAGTAATGGAACATGATCTCCACAGACATGACATTGATGTTGCTTGGGCCCTGGGCCCTGAGCCCTGGGCCCTGAATGGCGACCACCGTGTCTCGGTCGCCAGTCTCTCAGCTCAGCATCTTGCTCAGGATCTCAGAGATGAATGGATGGGTAAGTGAAGCATTAACCTTCCCCAGCTTCGGTTCCTTCCTCCTTTCCTACAAAATCTCCTCAGCTTTAGAATTGCTGCTTAATTCTGAGCAAAGACTACGGACGAGATCTTGAGTGGTTTAAAAAAAAAACACTTAAACTATTTTTACTGTGAACATCTTTTGGGGGCACACACTGTGAAGAGGGGCTCACCTGGATTGCAACCTGCTACTCTTCTTCCTCACAAAATCACGCAAGTATCATTATTATCCTTCATTCTATAGAAGGCAGCCGAATCTTGGAGGCTGAGCTAGTCTCCAGGACAGACAGCCTGGTGCCAGGGTCTGCTCCTTAACCACTAGGCTATATTGCCTTTTGTGGGCAGGTAATGGCTTGGCACTGCCTGGCTAAGACACAGAGATTAAGAACAGAACACCATGACGTTTCTTGCTGGTTAGTTCCTGGGTGGCACTGGGGGGGGGGGGGATCACAGGGAGTATTTCCATAAGGCAAAGGGTCACTCATCATTCTGGGTCTGACGTGTGAGCACCGAGCACTCAGTCTGGTATCCCACACAATCTACGTGTGGGATGATGAGAGCATCTTGTAATGGGGGTTGACACCACTGCAGTAACGGAGCAGTAAAGGAGTTAGCACATCTGGGACTCCAGCCCAGGCCATGTGACTGGCCACAGCCCACAGTGCATAGCTCTGTGAATATGGCGTCCATCCTTACCTTGAAGTCATAGAAGTTATCAATGAGAATGATGAATCTTTGCGTTTGCATCCTCTTTTTTAGTGAAAACTGTGGAATGTTTCGAATGATTACCGTATCAAAATTCTTTGATAATTCCAAATAGTCACTTGCTCCAAGTGGCTGTAATTAAAACAGAGAGAAGGGAGCCGTAGCCGTCTTAAGATTCATTTCATTGGAAAGCATGTCACAGAGGGATTTAGATGCTAACTTTAGGGTGACTAGACCCAGTGAGGCAGTTTTTGAAGGCCAGGTAAGGACACAGCCATATATATAACACATGGTAGGGACCCTCCCCTTCCTCAGTCTTCCCTGGTTGGAGTTTCTATTCCCAGACCTTGTGTTTGACCCTGGCTGAAGCCCTGGTACCCTTTTTAGCCTTGGAAGAGTTCCAGGCTTTGAGTGGGGGGTTATTTCTGGTTTAACCCTGATGATACTCTTCTGAGGGCCCCTCCTGCTGATAAGAGCTAACTGTGTCTGCTTTGCATGCTACTTATTAACTGAGCACTCAGGGTACATTATGTGGTCTTTCTGTTCCTTGGCTGTCTAGAAAATGGTCATTCATTTCTGCCTCACAGAATTAAGAGGGCTAGGTAAAATAACACTTAGCACAGCAGCTGGAGCATGCCTCCGAGTCTAACCCATTTTTGTTGTTGTTTTTGAGAAAAACATCTATGTATTCTAGGCTGGCTGAGAACTCAGTGTCTAGCTCAGGCTGTCTTGGGGCTCACAGTGATCCTCCTGCCTCAGCCTCCAAAGCATGGGGATTGGAGGCGTGCATCCCTCTGCCAGGCTTGGCCATTTTCGTGATTACTATTTGGAACTCAAGTGATTTGGCTGAGGCCAAATGAGCCCAGTATGCAGACATGGCATTCCCAATAGGAACTAACTAATTTGCTCTACCCAATGTCTGCACCCCAAACCATAGGGCAACCTTGTGCATTTGCCTGACGTTGGAGTCATAGCAGGGACCTTGGGGGCCATGGAATCACCACTCAGGGAAAACAGTGCCCAGAAGGTACAGGGAAAGCCAGACGGTGTGCTAGCGAAGAAAGAATGGACTTCACGGACCTATTACTCCAAAGCTACACTACTCTTTTGAAATCAGTTACGGTCGTCTCACCTTCTGTAAATCAGAAAACATATGCAAAAAATATGTAAAACCTCATGCTTGGTATGTGGGTCTTATAATTAAGCTGGCACTTTGTATTTGGGTGTGAGTTTTTTTAATCAAACCAAACATGATCAGAGGTGTGCTGGGCTGCCGAGAGCAACTAGACACCAGAGCTGTGCTTGCTTGGCTATCTCACAAAGTGCACACCTTTGTCGGTAGGTCCCGTGTTTGCCATCATATTAGACTCTATCTCAATAAAACCTTAAGGAATGAAAACGGGCCAGATATGGTGGTGCATGGCTTTAAGATTCTAGTACTGAGAGGCGGAGAGAGGTGAAACTTAAGTTCAAGGACAGCCTGGAGTACAGAGTAAGTTCCAGGATAGCCAGGGATACATATAGAGACCCTGTCTCAAAAACAACAACAAAAAAGGAAACAAAAAAGATTTTTCATTGGTAAATATTTTACATAGTGGCTTTGTTGTTTAAATGTCTACAATGTAACACTAAAGGAAAATTCAGGACTGAATCCGGTGAGCTACACAAGTGCTTATTAGTTAGAAGTGTTACGTTTCATCTGCCAAAGCAAATGAGAGGTTGGAGATGCTGGCCCTGATCCTTGCAGTCAGGCAGCCTCGAGCAGACTGCTCTGACGCTTGGTTTCTTCACCAGTAAAGGAGATTCTATCTAGCAGGCTTGTCCTGAGGACTCAACGTCCTGACTACCGAGTAAATGCTCAGGAAATGCTGGTTGCTTATAGATTCATGGAAGAGGGCACACGGAACACTGCTTAGCGCGGCACAGTCAGTGTGCAGCTATGACCCAGTAACAATTCAGTAATCCTTTCATGAGGTCATAGGTCAGCTAGCCTCGATGAGTGAACAGCTGTACTGACCCAGTCTGTCCTCAGGAAAGGACACTGCTGCCCCCTGCTCTTCCTGCCATGCTCCACATGGCAGCTACCCATGAAGTCATATGTAAGTGACAAACAGCTTCTGTACCAGACCTTGTCCTCAATGCGTGGCCAGAGGAGGAGCCCAGGCATCCACTATGATCACTCTAACATGGTACATAGGATGTAGGAAGTGCTTAATATTTATGAAATGAATCAGTAGAGAGATATATTGACAACATGCAAGCCTGCCAGGGGAGAAGGCCAGGTCCTTCTTTTGAACTCACTGGTCTCCAAACACACACACACACACACACACACACACACACACACACTGGATTTCACTATGTAGCTCTGGTGACTTGGAATTTGCTCGGGCTGGCCTCAAACTCACAGAGATCCATCTGTTTCTGCCTCCCGGGCACTGGGACTAAACATGTGCCCACCACGCCTAGCCACTGGTTTTCATACATAACATTCAGAATCAGATGTTTTCACTGAGCCACACATTGCAGATAGTGCGTAGCCACACAAATGGTATCACTTCTGAGGCATGCCGGCCATCATGGAGACTGTAGGAGAATTCACATAGATGATGCTGCCAGCAATCCCTTGCTTTCTGAGATTCAGTGTTTAAAATGTTTGGAACCATTCAATGTATTAATTAAAAAATATTCTAGACAATTACAAGTTAAAACATCTGACATGTTTTTGGAGAAATGAAGGATGCCCATGTAGGGTGGTCCAAGCATGAAGACAGCCTCAGGTGTTCTTGCAGGCTTGTCTATGCCAGCATGGATTGTGATTATCCAGCTATCTTCTTAAGATATGAAGTGAAGGACTACCCGGGTTTGTAATCCAGGGCCATTAGAAAGAAGCATAAGACAGTTTCAAGTTCCAAGCATAGGTCTCAACACCTAAGAATTTTGCATACCTAGGTCTACTGCTGCAGAGAACACAGAAAGGCTAATTATCTTGACAAGAACGCACCCTGGACCAGCATAAAGCTGGCAGGTCCCCAAACAGACAAGAGTCCAACTCAGATCAGCAAAACTGCAGATGCCAAAGCTAGTCCAACAGAGACCAAAAGAACATCCCAGCTGACTAGGACACGAGAGCAGGAATAAATGCTTATTGTTTTAATCCACTGAGTTTGGGGATGATTTATTGTGCAGCAATAGCTAAGGACCCATCCTCACTAGAGAGAGCTACTACAGAGTTCTATGTTCTCATTGTCGACAACAAGTTCAGCACATGTAGGAAAATATGGTCTAGATTTTTTGGTTCTATGTTACTGGTAAAAATATGTAAAAATATATTCTGTGACTTACTTGATGCCACTCACTCCTGTATTGACTTCAAATTTTATGCCATAGTATACATTTTATTTCCAGAAATAAATATGACTTACTACACACAGGAGTCAGGTAAAAAAGTGAGAAAATTATGTAGCATCCTAACAGGATACAAGAAGACTTGGGAATGACTGACTCAAAGAGGAGAGTTGCAAGGAAAGTCCATTCGGACTGATGTGAAGAGGGCGTTGGGAGAGACCAGAAACGACTGGAACACAAGCAAGGCATTTTAAGAGCATTACAACAGAAACATGAATGTGGGGTTTGAACAGACAATTCACAGAATCCGAAATCTACATAAAGTGTAAGGGCTATGGGACAAGTGAAAAAGGTCCATAATCCCCAAAGAAGAATGCGATGACATCGACAGGCCATGGTGCACATGCTGGTCTTGCAAAAGAAAGTAAACAGCTGCTCCATGTGGGCAAGCCTGTGACCCCTGAGGAATAAGTTCATTCGTTTGTTCCAGAAAACAACATGTCAGATTTTAAACAGTATAAACTTGACCCAGCTACTTCTAGAAAACAGAAGGACAAAGTAATTGAGATCCAACAAAAGGCTCTGTGTACACAGGGGCACTTGGAGCTGTGTGCACAGGACACTTGGAGCTGTGTGTGCACAGGACACTTGGAG